GAATTTTTCACCCAAAGAGTGGTCGGGCATTGGAACAGGCTGCCCAGGGAGGGGGTGGAGTCCCCATCCCTGGCTGTGTTTAAGGGCCGTTTAGATGCAGTGCTGAGGGACATGGTGTAGGGGAGGACTTTGTAGAGTAGGGGAGATGGTTGGACTCGATGATCCCAAGGGTCTCTTCCAACCTCAATGATTCTATGATTCTACACGTGTGTGTGCATTTTTCCCCTCCCCCAAGCCCCCCTGCCCCACACACTACCCCCTCGAAGCATTTTGGGGTGCCCACCCCGGACACCCCTCATGAAGCCTACGACACAGAGGCTCTCACTCCACGTGCCCCGTGCCCCCAGGAACCAAGGATGAGGGTGTCCCCCGCCTTACACCCCCAGGGTGTGACACTCAGGATTAGGGTCCCCACCCCACACTCCCGGGGATGAGGGTTGTTCCCCCCCTCCTTGCACCCCCAGGTTGTGGCACTGGGGATTAAGGTGCCCCCCTCCTTTCACCCCCAGGCTGCAGCGCTCGGGATTGGGGTGCCCTCTCCATACTCCCAAGGATCTGGGGACTAGGGTGCCCACCCCACACTAGAAATTAGGGTGCTCATCCCAAATCCGCCCTCCTCCCCCAAGCCTGGCATGGCTCCCCAGGGCACTGGGAATTAGGGTGCTGACCCCACTTTCCCCCAAAACCAGTGGGACAGAGTTTCCCCAGGGTGCCAACCCAATCCTGGGTGCTCTGGGTATCAGGGTGCCCACCCAACACATCCCCAAGATGCTGCGGGTTCTGGGCACTGGGGTGCCCACCCAATGCACCCCAAAGATGCTAAGGGTTCTGAGCACTGGGGTGCCCACCCAACACACCCCCAAGATGCTGGAGGGTCTGGGCATTGGCGTGCCCACCCAATGCACCCCAAAAATGCTGAGGGTTCTGGGCATTGTGGTGCCCACCCAACGTACCCCAAAGATGCTGAGGGTTCTGGGCATTGGGGTGCCCACCCCATGCATCCTTATAGTTCCCTGGGCACCGGGCACTGGGGTGCCCACCCCATTCCACCCTCCCAGCACCTCCCAGGGGCATGTGGGGGAGCAGAATCGGCCACGGCTACCTGAGGACATGAGCAGCACGGCCTGGAGCAGGGCCACCTCGGTGTCGTCCAGGTTGAAGGCAGAGAGGGACTTGCCCAGGTCGAAGATGGCATCGGAGACGACGCCGAGGCCGCCGTTCTTGAGCTGCTCCCGCTTGACGGCCATCTCCCCGCTCAGCGTCAGCGTCTCGCTCTCGGGGTCGTAGCGCACGGCCGCCCGCAGCGACATGATCTCCATGCAGCAGCCCTTCAGCAGGATGATCTGGTCTTCGCAAGGCAGCTGAGAGGTCGGAGATGGAGAGGAGGAGGGATAATAAATAAATAATAAAAGGTTGGCATCAAAATGTGGGGACACACACACAACTGGTGTGTCCGTCCCCCCCTGCCAAGCCCCCTCCTTGGATTTCCTCTCCCCCGCCCCCTTGAACTTCTTACCTCCGAAAACATGGGCAGTTTTTTGGCAAAGTCGACCACGCGGGTGATGGCCGGGGTGATGATTTTTGTAAACTCGCTGAACGCCTCCAGGTCGACTTTGTCCCCGTCGGGCATGGAGGCCATGGGCGACTGGCCAATGTCCTCGGGCTGCGGGGGGACAGGCGGAGGGGTTTGGGGGGTGTGTGTGGGGGATGTGTGTGTGATGGGGGTGTCATGTCCCCCCCCCACCCCGGGACACCGGGGGAGCAGCCAGGAGAGGGAGCTGTGTGCCAGCAGCGCTGCGGGGACGGGGACGGGGACAGGGCCACCCCGCAGGGCACAGCTGTCCCCTTCGGTCACCGCTCACCCCTTAACCCTCCAGGGGTGACGAGCTCAAGGACACCGGGTGACATCCCAAACACCCCCCCCCGCCAACACACACACTCCAACCACCCCCCCCTTGGTGCTGGGGAACCACCACGAGTGCTGCACGTCATGCGTGCACCGAGCGTGTGGGTGCTCAGCTGCCCACCGGCCGGGAGGGG